TTTGCATACAGGGGCGGATACAGGTATCTGCCTGTTGGAGGGCGATCATAATTTTTGGCTTCAACGACTTCACGACACATTAGAAAATATACTCCTTGTTCGCGTAAGCTCAACACACTTAGATAATATGATCGACAACTTGAGTGTATTTGAAGACGACGATTAATTATTTGCTAAATAAATTTTTGAATGGAATAATAAATACATGACTGAATAGCATAATTTTTTAATTTTGTTTTTATTAGGAGTTATTAATATTTATTTGTTGTTTCTGAACGAACTAAATATTAAATATTATTACTTATTAATATTTGTTATTACCTACAAATCATTCTTACAAGGGTAAAAGAAAGTGGGTAAGGAAGAAAGGAGGTAAAGAAAGTGGTCACACAGTGACGGTGCATAAAAACAAAACTACGATAGAGCAGTAGCACATAAAAAATATTTTTTGTTCTGCTCTGCTCTCGCTCTAGATTTTTGGCTATGGCTACGGCTACGACGAGCACAGAATATTTTTTTCTGCTATTGCTATAGCTATAGCTTTGAACTTTTCGTAGCTCGGAGCAGAGTAGAGCAGACAATTTTCATTTTTCTGCTACGGCTCCGCTCCCGCTCTCGGAAAAGTGACAGCGGTAGCAATAGCAGAGCAATATTTCTATGCATCTCGCTGCTACGGAGTAGTAGATGCAAACCCTGGTGCCTGTCACGACATCTTCATTTCGAAGTAGCAATTTTTTTTAGCTGTCATCTCTGGTCAATTCAACTTGGAAACCAACGATGAAACGACTCGATTTTCAGAGTTAATTTCAACTAATCGCCCTTATGCAAATTCAGTGGCAGTGCGCTAATCTTAAGAATAAAATTTCAAAATTCAAAACGTTAAAAAAGGCCTGTTCTTATGGCAGATATAGATGTGAACGCGTGGATCTGGAAAACTTTAAAAGATGGAACTATCAGAGTTGATATGAGCATGTCCGTCTGTCTGTCCGTCTGTCTGTCCGTTTCTACGCGAACTAGTTCCTCAGTTTTAAAGCTATCGACTTGAAATGTCCGACTATGTCTGATATCTGCCATATAACTGAACGATCGGAAATAACCCAACTTTCGTATTTTTGATGATAGAAAGCTGGAACTTGGTACAGAGATATTCTCATAGGGATCGCCCAACTATATCCGATGTTTGCGATATGTATTCGGTTTTTACTGCAAGAGTTTATCAACTTCGGCTCCACCTGGAGTTACCTTTCTTTTCTTGTTTTTATTTATGGTCGTTGTTTTAGAGCAAAACATTTTTTTTCAATTATTCAATACATTGTATTTATCAATATGAAATTCAATGTAAATATTTTAAGAATTATAGAATATAAACTGATCGATCCAATAACAGTCCAATCTGACCATTCAATGTGTGCAGGGTTCCTACATACGGAACATACACAAAAGAGAAAATCTAAGAACGAACCCAACAGCGATTTGTGACTACGAATACCTTAATTTCCGAGCATAAAGGAAAACTCCGAGAGGCGACAGACTACGACGAAATCATCGAAGTCAGCCTAAATTAAATTGCCTTGGATAACACGGGAGAGATCTAGTACTTGGAATTTTGGTGAATACATTTCTTTTGAATTGTTTAGCCAATGAATTACTGCCAAATAATCGCAGTTAACCGAACTAAAAATCTGGTAACCCAATATAAGAAAAAAGACGCTGAACCACAATCTATTAAAACAAATAGACGATCGACAATCATCGACTAAGAGCAATTCGGCTCTACGGACCGCTGAAAGCCAAAGGGCACAGTTTTGCTCATCCGCTCTGCTTAGTCCGACTCTCGCGTCAAGAATTTCGTAGTTTAAAACCCCCCCTCCTATGGCGTAAACAAATTTCGCACCAACAAAAAGCCAACAACAAAAAACCACTGAAATTCAAAATACCGCGACGTCAACAACTACAGCGAGTACAAAAACAACAACTTCGGAAAGTGCCAAAGCGGCTGCGGGCGCACAGACCCCACAGACCTTCAAATTAAGCACAAGCTTTGCCCGTAGAGTAATCCGGCAGGCAATACAACAAAAATTAACGGATCGACAAAGAACCAGGAAGATCCAGTAGCAAGTTGGAGGTTGGTGAAAATCAACCAGCGCAAGACACCGCAAAAAAACCCAAGAACCCGCCCATTTATATGATAGAGAAAAGGTCGAATGCACTGGGGCGTTGATCGGAAGTGGTAACAACTTTCATGTTGTCCCAATTATCAAAGACTAAAGACTAAAAACACTTCCAAATCGTGTCCAAATATCCGGAAAATTCTAAGAAAAACTATTACACGTACCAGCTCAAAAGCAACCAGGGCCTACAAGTGGTAGAAAGGGAAGCGAACCCGATGTTAATGCCGCGGAAATAAAAAGCGCGCTACTTCGGGCTGTCTGTGTAGCCCACTCTGATCACTCCACTACAAACAAGGACAGTACCGTGAAGAAATGTGGAAACTGCGGAGGCCACCATACGGAAAACTATAGAGGATGTATGGATTACCAGAAGTTGAAGAGTCGCAAGCGTCAAGCGACCGCAACGCACAGAAAAGTTTATCAAAATAAACGATAAAAAATACAAATACAAAACAAATAAAAAAATGTGTACATTCAGGTCCTCATTCGGTCCCCAAACAGCACCAACGGCTTCTCTTAAGCCAATGCTCTACGATCTGGAATGGAACATCCAATTCAACCTAACTCACAAAGAGCTTAAAAGACCCCTGAACAGCTACATAGCAAAATGGAAACTGTGATGTTTACTCTCTATCAAAGTAATATAGAGTTTATGTCATATATAAAAACGACCATGCAAACACTTGTTCAAAACCAGAACATGGTAATAAAGCTGCTCGTAGCACAACAGTCTACATAATCTATGCAGACTTTACGAATATCATTGTAGAACGCCAAACGTCTCACGGCATAAACCAAAATTATCACAATTCTTGAACGAAAACCATATTGACATACCCACAGATCATCCATACGGGAAATCCCACGGCGGAACCGGAGTTATAATCAGAGAACGCATCAAACACCATTTTCCCAAACGGTTTGCAACAAATTTGCAGGCCACATCGAAACCGAAATAGCCAGAAAACAAACTTGCCTAACTTGCCTAAATACAAGAAGTTCGTGAGTGCAAAAATCAAACACCAGATCACCAGCTTTAAAGCAACGCGTTAAGAAAGCCGATCACTCGACCAGGCTCTTCGCCAATAGGAAGAAAATGCACAGCTGTACAAAGCCAACAAGTACAAAGTATTTCCAGTCTAAAGCCCACCCAAATCTTAGTGCCCCAATTGAAAAGACCATCCCCATAAGAAACTCTTTGGGATTCTGGCCTCGCAGCGACGAAAACAGAGCTGAAATTTGCCATGTTGTCAAATGCCAAACCCAGCCTCAAATTCAATCCTCCTCAAATTCAGCCAGAAGCTACCCCTCTGCCAACTACACCTTCATTCTTTGAAAAACCTTGAATTGAAAAAATCATAAGAGGGCTAAAACAAAAAAAGATCCCGGAGGTGATTTATTACGCCATGGATGTTGATCTTTTTTGATCAGCTTTTCTTTCTTGTTGTTCCTATAATTATTAAAAACAATTATAGTATATAGAAAATATCTCATTTCAAGATCGAGATCTCATTTTGTTTTATATGAGTGGTGTGTTTACGTTTAATTGTTTATTCTTAAAGTATGATAATGATTTATGATTATTCTCAGATCAAGAAACGCAATATACGACTTTATGCCTACACTCTATTGTTTGGCAATCCGACCCAGTGTGCACTCGCTTGGTTCTGGCCGGTCGGACGCCCTTAGGTTTTCGCGGTAAGTCGTATGAATTGTGACGGTCAAGCCCATCGCTTCAGCAAATGAATTGGCGGCATCATTAACGGCGGCCCTCTATATGAAAATGGTATGGTTGCATGGCAAATGTGACGCAGCGAACAACCTTTTCTCGGCAGCATTAACCACTTTCGAGAAACGACCATATTTTGTCACATTTTACAAAGAGCATTGGGCATGAGGGTGTCCAAAGGTAACAGGTGAGATTTTTTTTTTTTGAAATTTAAATCGCATACCCTTTCCAAATATGGCGATTAAATCAGGACAACCCGTGCCAATTTGATATCGAAGTTATAAACTCTGGCATCTCGTTTTGAAAATCATTTAAAATTTATTCCGCGCGCTCTTTGCGTTTTACGGTACGAATTCTTTGAATTGAGGACTTACTTATTGGAAACTCTTATTGGAAATTCTTATCAGTATCAGTATTGTATCCAAGTGCCTCAAAGTCTTTCCATCCTAATATTTTTGTTTTCTTGAGTTGCGCGCTTTCGATATAATTTGGCCAATCTTTTGGTCAATCGTGTCGACCGCAGTATTGCTACCAACTCCAAATTGAGTTTTCAATTTTTTCAACATGGTTCAAACAAACTTAGAGGGTAAGCGCTAAAAAAAAAAAATTTATGATTTTTTGGAGCACCCTACTGGCTATGGATCTCTGTATGCATTCTTGTATAGACGGCTTCTGAATGTCTGTCCGAAATGCAAGTGGGGTTGGGTATACAAGGCTCGGAGACATGTTTTCACTAATGGTCCGCTGTATGATGATCCTCGAGATCTAATAGGGTTGGGTGTAATTCTGGCTTGGGGTGAGTTCGACTTTAGTCAATAACTCTCCACGAACGATAGGTTAGAAAAGTTACTACTAGTCAGCTACTGCGACTTTGTAAGTGACAAAGTAAGTATTTTTTTTTGTTGTAACCTAAAATTCTTTGTTAAGGGGGAAGCTTTAGTGACTTTAAATTTTATAAAGGTAAATTTCAAATGAACCGCTCGGCAAAATAAGTCTTAAATTATTTTTTAACATTTCTTACACAATTACATAATTAAATATATAAATTATTATTTTATTGTAATATTACTGATAAAACTTATATTTTTTTTAAAACACAGGAGTTTATGGTTTCGATGAATCTCTTGCTTAACGAACCGTTGTGGCAATCAAATACCCAGGAAAACGCGAAGTACTTCTTTTCAATTGGAGATAGAGGATTTAACGGGCAATCATCTACATCAGGAATTTCAAGGAACGGAGTAATGTTTTTTACCCAAGTTCATCAAAATAACATTGGATGCTGGAATATAGAGAGACCATATATTAGAGCGAATTTGGGAAAACTGGTCCAAGAGGATAATCTTATTCAATTTCCCAATGATATAAAAGTAGACAACGGTGTTGACCAAAATGTGTGGATAATGAGCAATCGCTTACCTGTATTTCTATATAGTCAACTTGACTTCGGTCAAATCAACTTTCGAATTTTAAAAGCTGATATTAATAGAATCATTCAGAACACTGTGTGTGATCCAATTAATACATACAATAATGGATCAAAGTCGGCTGTTGTCTCAATAGAAGAGGGTCAATGTTATTAAAAACATTTTTAATGCAATTTAAGTTCAAAATTTTTTGTATGGTCATTTTTTTATACCATATCTCTAAAAAAAAATCTAATAACATGTAATAAAATAAATAAAATGTCATATTAAAATTATTTGTAAAGCTTGAGATTTATTTTTTTGCACAAAAAATATTCAATAAAGGAGTCATAATTAATACAATCTGTAAAATATAAATAGCACGATAAAGGATTATTTTCTATTTAAATTAAATTAATTAAATTAAATTTAATTACAAATTTAATTAATTTAATTTAATTAAATTTAATACAATTAATATTTAAGATCGTGAGAGAATAAAAGTATAAAAGTTAAATATTAATTCAATTTTAACTTTCGGTCAAAATTATAATACGCTCTCTAAAAGTAATAATGGAAAAATTATTCTTATTTTAAATTTTTAAATAAAAACTAAAATATAATAATAACATAAGAATATAACAAGAACGGAAAGCAAACTTCGGGCGGAGCCGAAGTTGTTAAACCCTTGCAGTTAAAACCGGATATATATCGCAAAAATTGATTATAGTTGGCCGATCCTTATAAAGGCAATACATTACAGACCAAAATCTAAAAAAAGTCCCAAACTTCTATCTTCAAGAACACCAAAGTTGGTTTTTTTACCAAAAACCATTTACCATCGTTCAGTTATATAGGATATATAGGATATAGTCGGCCGATCCTTAAGCAATTGGGTAGGTTGAGTCAACTAAAGAAAAATATAATCTGTACTAAGTTCCAGCTTTCTATCTTCAAAAAACACAAAAGTTGGGTCATTTCCGATCGTTCAGTTATATGGCAGCTATAGGATATAGTCGGCCGATCCTTATGAAATTTGGGATGTCGTATTATTTTGCCAGAAATAGCTTTCATGTAAAATTATATTATTTATACATTATTTAATATACATGCCGTATATTATTTTCAATATTTATGAATTTCCGGTGAAACTTATATTTTTATACCCTTGCAGAGATTATTATAATTTCGTCCAAAAATGTGCAACGCAGTGAAAGAGACATCTCCGACCCTATAAAGTATATATATTCTTGATCAGGATCACCTCCTGAGTTGATATAAGCATGTCCGTCTGTCTATCTGTCTGTTTCTACGCGAACTAGTCTCTCAGTTTTAAAGCTATAGACTTGAAACTTTGCACACACCCTTCTTTCCTTTGCACGCAGTATATAAGTCGAAACGACCGGGATCGGCCAAATTTTATAAGGATCGGCCGACTATATCATATAGCTGCCATATAACTGAACGATCGGAAATGACCCAACTTTCGTGTTTTTGAAGATAGAAACTTGGTACAGAATCTATTTTTGGTCAGTTGATCCAACCTACCAAATTTTTTAACGATCGGCTGACTATATCTTATAGCTGCCACATAACTGAACGATCGGAAATGGTTTTTGGTAGATATACCAACTTTGGTACTTTTGAAGATAGAAGTTGGGACTTTTTTTATACCCTTGCAGAGGGTATTATACTTTTGGTCAAAAGTGTGCAACGCAGTGAAGGAGACATCTCCGACCCTATAAAGTATATATATTCTTGATCAGGATCACCTCCTGAGTTGATATAAGCATGTCCGTCTGTCCGTCTGTCTGTCCGTCTTTCTGTCTGTTTCTACGCGAACTAGTCTCTCAGTTTTAAAGCTATCGTCTCGAAACTTTGCACACACCCTTCTTTCCTTTGCACGCAGTATATAAGTCGGAACGGATCGGCCGACTATATCCTATAGCTGCCATATAACTGATTAATCGGAAATGGCATAACTTCGATATTTTCAAAGTGAGAGAGTTCGCATTAGTGCTATTTTTAGCAAAATAGTACAACCTACCAAAATTCATAAGGATCGGTCGACTATATCCTATAGCTGCCATATAACTGATTGATCGGAAATGGCATAACTTTGGTGTTTTTAAAGCTAGAAAGTCCGTATTTTCTATGGGATCTATTTTTGGCAAAATAATACGACTTATCAAGTTTCGTAGGGATCGGCCGACTATATCCTATAGCTGCCATATAACTGATTGATCAGAAATGGCATAATTTTGGTGTTTTTTGAGCTAAAAAGTGGGGATTTTCTATGGGTTCTATTTTTAGCAAAATAATATGACTTATCAAGTTTTGTAGGGATCGGCCGACTATATCCTATAGCTGTCATATAACTGATTGATCTGAAATGGCATAACTTTCGTATTTTTTGAGCTAGAAAGTTGGGATTTTCTATGGGATCTATTTTTGGCAAAATAATACGACTTATCAAGTTTCGTAGGGATCGGCCGACTATATCCTATAGCTGCCATATAACTGATTGATCAGAAATGGCATAATTTTGGTGTTTTTTGAGCTAAAAAGTGGGGATTTTCTATGGGTTCTATTTTTAGCAAAATAATATGACTTATCAAGTTTCGTAGGGATCGGCCGACTATATCCTATAGCTGTCATATAACTGATTGATCGGAAATGGCATAACTTTGGTGTTTTTTGAGCTAGAAAGTTGGGATTTTCTATGGGATCTATTTTTGGCAAAATAATAGGACTTATCAAGTTTCGTAGGGATCGGCCGACTATATCCTATAGCTGCCATATAACTGATTGATCAGAAATGGCATAATTTTGGTGTTTTTTGAGCTAAAAAGTGGGGATTTTCTATGGGTTCTATTTTTAGCAAAATAATATGACTTATCAAGTTTCGTAGGGATCGGCCGACTATATCCTATAGCTGTCATATAACTGATTGATCTGAAATGGCATAACTTTCGTATTTTTGAGCTAGAAAGTTGGGATTTTCTATGGGATCTATTTTTGGCAAAATAATACGACTTATCAAGTTTCGTAGGGATCGGCCGACTATATCCTATAGCTGCCATATAACTGATTGATCAGAAATGGCATAATTTTGGTGTTTTTTGAGTTAAAAAGTGGGGATTTTCTATGGGTTCTATTTTTAGCAAAATAATATGACTTATCAAGTTTCGTAGGGATCGGCCGACTATATCCTATAGCTGTCATATAACTGATTGATCTGAAATGGCATAACTTTCGTATTTTTTGAGCTAGAAAGTTGGGATTTTCTATGGGATCTATTTTTGGCAAAATAATACGACTTATCAAGTTTCGTAGGGATCGGCCGACTATATCCTATAGCTGCCATATAACTGATTGATCAGAAATGGCATAATTTTGGTGTTTTTTGAGTTAAAAAGTGGGGATTTTCTATGGGTTCTATTTTTAGCAAAATAATACGACTTATCAAGTTTCGTAGGGATCGGCCGACTATATCCTATAGCTGCCATATAACTGATTGATCAGAAATGGCATAATTTTGGTGTTTTTTGAGCTAAAAAGTGAAGATTTTCTATGGGTTCTATTTTTAGCAAAATAATATGACTTATCAAGTTTCGTAGGGATCGGCCGACTATATCCTATAGCTGCCATATAACTGATTGATCAGAAATGGCATAATTTTGGTGTTTTTTGAGCTAAAAAGTGAAGATTTTCTATGGGTTCTATTTTTAGCAAAATAATATGACTTATCAAGTTTCGTAGGGATCGGCCGACTATATCCTATAGCTGTCATATAACTGATAGATCGGAAATGGCATAACTTTGGTGTTTTTTGAGCTAGAAAGTTGGGATTTTCTATGGGATCTATTTTTGGCAAAATAATACGACTTATCAATTTTCGTAGGGATCGGCCGACTATATCCCATAGCTGTCATATAACTGATTGATCTGAAATGGCATAACTTTCGTATTTTTTAAGCTAGAAAGTTGGGATTTTCTATAGGTTCTATTTTTAGCAAAATAATATGACTTATCAAGTTTCGTAGGGATCGGCCGACTATATCCTATAGCTGTCATATAACTGATAGATCGGAAATGGCATAACTTTGGTGTTTTTTGAGCTAGAAAGTTGGGATTTTCTATGGGATCTATTTTTGGCAAAATAATACGACTTATCAAGTTTCGTAGGGATCGGCCGACTATATCCTATAGCTGTCATATAACTGATTGATCTGAAATGGCATAACTTTCGTATTTTTTGAGCTAGAAAGTTGGGATTTTCTATGGGATCTATTTTTGGCAAAATAATACGACTTATTAAGTTTCGTAGGGATCGGCCGACTATATCCTATAGCTGCCATATAACTGATTGATTAGAAATGGCATAATTTTGGTGTTTTTTGAGCTAAAAAGTGGGGATTTTCTGTGGATTCTATTTTTGGCAAAATAATACGACTTATCAAGTTTCGTAGGGATCGGCCGACTATATCCTATAGCTGTCATATAACTGATTGATCTGAAATGGCATAACTTTCGTATTTTTTGAGCTAGAAAGTTTGGATTTTCTATGGGATCTATTTTTGGCAAAATAATACGACTTATCAAGTTTCGTAGGGATCGGCCGACTATATCCTATAGCTGCCATATAACTGATTGATCAGAAATGGCATAATTTTGGTGTTTTTTGAGCTAAAAAGTGAAGATTTTCTATGGGTTCTATTTTTAGCAAAATAATATGACTTATCAAGTTTCGTAGGGATCGGCCGACTATATCCTATAGCTGTCATATAACTGATAGATCGGAAATGGCATAACTTTGGTGTTTTTTGAGCTAGAAAGTTGGGATTTTCTATGGGATCTATTTTTGGCAAAATAATACGACTTATCAAGTTTCGTAGGGATCGGCCGACTATATCCTATAGCTGTCATATAACTGATTGATCTGAAATGGCATAACTTTCGTATTTTTTGAGCTAGAAAGTTGGGATTTTCTATGGGATCTATTTTTGGCAAAATAATACGACTTATTAAGTTTCGTAGGGATCGGCCGACTATATCCTATAGCTGCCATATAACTGATTGATTAGAAATGGCATAATTTTGGTGTTTTTTGAGCTAAAAAGTGGGGATTTTCTGTGGATTCTATTTTTGGCAAAATAATACGACATACCAACTTTTATAAGGACCGCCGACTATATCCTACAGCTGCCATTTA